GTCATCTGACGGACCTTCAACAGAATCCTCTGCCCGCTCCATGGGTGGCCCTCCTCCGCATGTAAGAACATCCAGTCCAGGAGAACCTCCTCTTGTGCCACGGTGCATGTCATTTGATGCTCGTGCGCTGTACTGGCAGGTTTGTGCTTTCCAGACAATCGGTACCTGAGAACATCATATGACACATTAAACATCTTCGCGACATCTTTGACACATGGTGAGAGGGAACCAAGGGCTTCCATGTATTCAACAGCTTCCTTGACCTTTGCCTCGGGACTCGGTTTTCGACGAGGTTTGCTGCATTTTCGCTTTGCAGTGACGGTTTTTGTGGGATGTGTTCTGGACATGCGAACAACAGGAAGCTTGGACGAACGGTGTTGCTATGCACCTCGCGACGCGACTAAGTGGATTCAAACGGAGTTCGGATCCATGTCACTTTCTGTCACTCTCTGCGAGAGATGTGCATTCGTGTTGCACTCCTGGAGCGTCCGTAACATCATATGTCACCCTGGTTTTTATACAAGTGGACTAGTAGAGCTATCGTACATTGCACTATCATAGCCTTGTCACCCAGAAATGCTTCGTTGTCCTGGCGCTCTGCAAAATCCTACCCCGTGGGAGAATAGGATTTCGGTACTCTTTGGACTCCCCTGCCCCCCCACGCAGTTCAAACCAGCAGTGCCGAGTATGGGCATGTAGATAGTATCGATAGCTTACATCCAAGCAATTTTTCGTGATTTAAGGTGAGGTGCAGCCATGTTGAGAGTCAAAATAGTCGGAATAGGACAAGGGGTACCGATAGGAACACTGGTTCGATGATAGTAGCAGAACCGTGCAACATATATGCGCTAGCACACATTACTTACGGCTACTTAATTCTCCCTCGTCAAGACGGAAGGAGCAAAAGCCGATAATATCCGACAGCGTTGGTACACGATCACATGATCGTTTCAGCACAAGCGCCCCTTCGCCGCCGCGAACGGTTGAGCCTGGCGCGTTACAGCTGGATCGCCGTTCTCTGTTTCTCGCCGTTCGTCCAGGCATTAATGCTGGCGGCAACCGTCGAACAAAGCCGCGAGGCTCGGCAGAAAAGACAGCAAGAACGTTATAGGAACCGCGGAGGGTATTGATCGAACGTTTGTTGCGTATATGCACCACCTCTCACGACGTTGCATTACGGTTTCTACCGCATACAGCATCTTCGTTCCGACCACAGCGAATACTCTAACAGACATTTTACTTGCCCGGCTTGAAGGAAGCTCGAACACGAGTTCGAGCTCGGGAAGCGCGCGGAACCCTGTGGTACGTCCGCCCTCGGGAACTATAAGGCCGTATTGTTGAACTCAGCAAGCAGCGCACAGATGTCGTGGCAGAATCGGACGTGCGTGCTTCTGGCGTGAAACTCAAGAAAGGAACGGAGAAGGCAGCATCGCCAGGTTCGTGAGTTCGGACGCATACACGCCGCTTTTACGTCGCTGCAAGCCCTTATATGCGCAGTCAAACAGGAACTGCGCCGTTCACCTCGGAAATTATCGCAATTTGCGCACGAAGATAGCGAAGATGATACACCGTTGACCCAACTCTCGAAGCCAACCCGGGGTGCTGCGAAACAGGAAACCGAAAGGACAACCAAGTCAGACGTTCGATCGAGGAAGCAAGCGCCCGCGGAGCCTGGGCCTTCCTCGACAACAAGAGCAAAGACGGCGAAAAAGACGAAGCGTGAAGCTCCCAATACAACTTCGAAGTCGGTCGCGGCTACGACCATCAAGAGAAAACGCGCACCCAAGCGTGACCCAGGTACCCCGAAATTATGATCGTATCCGCACTTGATCATACTTACACAACGATTTATCATAGCGGAACCTCCAATCCCCGTATCGGAATCCAGAGTGCGCTTCGATCTAACCATCAGCCAAACCGCCGCTGCCGAGGCTCAGGAGAAAGGAGTCGGCTCGAGTGCAAAGAAGAAGGGAAGGAGGAAAGCGTCCAATACAGATCACGCCGTATCTGACGACGAGGCGAAACGGGTGCAGCGGAAGCGGCGCAAGGTCCACGATCCGGATCAAGAAAGCGAAGGCGAGCTCTCGTCCGCATCTGCTTCCAAAGTCAAGGCGACGAAAAAGACAAGGACACAGAAAGCCGCCGCTGGCAGCGCTGGTGGTGAGACGGAATATGAGAGCGATACACCTCGCGCCGTACCTAGACCCCGACGAAAAGCCATTCCGAAACCAGACGTCGAGGGGCAGGACGAAGAAACTCCGAAAGCGAAGCGGCCTAGACCAATGCCAAAACCGAGAGCGTCTGCCAAGAAAAGGCCCGACGAAGAACGATCACTGGCCGAGGACGATAGCGACATCGACCCAAAACCTACTGGCAGTCGGACGAAGCGCAAGGTGGACGACGGAACCGCAGATTTTCATGAAGATGTTCCTAAGGCGAAGAGGAAGGTCAAGACGAAAGCCGCAGTTGCTGATGACGACACAGAGCCGTCCATACCTGCGCCGAAAACGAAAAGGACCACGCGGATCAATGATGAGGACACGCCTAGGGTTTCTCCCTCAAAACCTGCCGGGAAAAAGAGAGCGGGCGTCGCAGGCGACGAGCAAGACCCGCAAGCGACGGCGAAACGTGTTAGAAAACTCCGTGGGCCGACCGAAGATGATGACACAGATGTGGAGCAAACTCCGGTCGTCGAAACCAAGTCAAGGACCTCGTCAAGTAAAACCCGCACGGCGTCGCGGAAGCCCGCTCCGTCAGAACCGTCCGAGAAGTCGCGCAGTGCCTCAAAGACCCCAGTAGCTGTACACATATTTCAATTGTTCGTCATACAAACGACAGCACTGACTCCGGCTCTAGAAATCACGTCGTCGTGACCATGCAACCTCGGCTCAAAAAGCCAAGAGTGATCAAAGCCGCCCCGTGTTAAGACGACCGCCGCCTCCTCGAGCAAGCTCCCCACTCACCGAACATAGCGACGGCGACGACGAGTTGAACCTCCTTTGATATTATTCTTGTGGCTTTGTGCCCCGTGTAAACTTACTATCGCCCTCGCACTACGATGTCAAATCATGTAACATTGGCTGCACAAGTACACCGTACGAACCATATATCACGCAGCAGCAGCATTACGAGCACTATAAGGACAAACGATCAGGATAGTCACAACAAATCCTGAGGCCGACCAGATAACCCGAAATCCGTCTGCCTGCCATCGTCATGATACTACAGCAGGGCCGAATTCAAGGTTATGTGGAGGCTCCTGCCCACTACTTTCATCATGTAGACCATTCGGACTCGCATGACGAGGCGACGTGTTCGGGCTCCCTTTGCCCTCCTCAGCGGCCACATCATGGTCACCATCCAAGCCGTCCTCTTCGGCCCCATGTCCGTCCACATCCATCGCATCATCATCGAAGACCGCGCTCAGACTGATATCCGGCTCGGCGGCCGCGTTCGCTCCAGGTGAATCAGGAGTGGACGTAGTCGCAGGCGTGGGCAGCTGCTTCTGGTCTTTCCCTTGCGAGGATCGCCTCTTCGCCTGGCCGGACTTCTCCAGCTTGCGAATCACCTTAGCGACGTATTCCTTCGCGAACTTCTTGATCTTCGCCGTTTTTTCGTCCGAAAGGCTGTCAAGCTTGCCCTCCTTGTACGAGCTCGACTTCTTCTCCTTGTCGGCGATGATCTGGGTGAGCTGTTCGCATTACCGCGTCAGCGTTGGCGGGGAAGATGACGACATGCAAAGTTTACCTCTTTGGCGTGCTTCTTGAACAGGTCGTGGTCCATCTGCTTCTGGTACTTGGACATGCACTTGACCACGATCGCGCCGACGAGCTTTTGCAACCGCTTCTCCTTCAACGCCTCCTTCTCCTCTGGCGTGAGCGCTTTCTTCGGGTTCGCAAGCGCCTTCTCCCTCCTCCGCGCCCGCTCCTCCTCTTTCTTCGCCGACTCCGCCGCCTTACGCGCCTCCTCCTCCCGCGCCGCCTCTTGCGCTGCCCGCGCGGCAGCGATGATATTCGTGACGTGCGTCTTCCGGTTACTCTCAAACCAACATTCCCTGGCGCGCTGCTCTTGAAGCAGACGTTCTTCCTCCGTCAACGGCTTAAACCTGTCCGAGGACCGAGACGAGTAATCCGGTGTGACGGCCCTTGTCCCTAATGGCACGATGTCCAGGACGGGGACGTCTTCGTGTGGCGTGAAACGTATCCGCTTCCGCGGCCGTCGATCAGGCTCTTCGAAGAGGACGCGTTCCACCTCTTCGGTGCCATCCTGTCCATGACGTGAGCGTGATCGATCTCATAGGATGATATAGTAAGGCACATACCGCCTTCACGCGTTTCGCGATCCGGTATGCCGTCTGTAGTTCAGCCCACTTGTCCAATAGCTATAAAAATATTGTGAGCTGAAGTCTCGGTTCAACTATAGCATGGCTTAACGCACGCGTTGCGCAAGGCCCTTCAGTTTTTCGTTGTCCGAGTCCGCCCATTTCTGGACGGGAACGCTGATGCCGGACGCCTCCACCTTATTTCGCTTGAGTAGCGGCCAGGTGTACATGCATTCAAGCGCCTAAAGGTGGGTCGCTCCTCAGACTAGTCATAAATCCAAGGAAACCATGGGACGTACGACGGTGGTTATATCTTCGTCGTCTTCATAATCAAGGAGGATATTGGTCATTTGACTGAACCCACGAAGTCGCATCACTTGTCGAAGTGCGGCTTGATCGTCGGTAAGCTGCCGAGTCACTACGTCGGTAATGTAACGAAAACAAGCTGACAAAGGCATCACACCTTGATGCGCGTTATGAGTTTGTAAAGGACCTTCCGACTGCTGGTCTGCCGAAGGGCTTGGATGACCTTCGGCACGTCCTTCTCTTGCAACGGCTTGAGATCGGGCTACACGTCCCAGTCAACACATAGCAATAGGCGTTCAAGGGGTAGGCGGGCCGCACGATGTAGTCCTCGTCCAGCTTCCGGCCCTTCTTCTTCTTCGTGCCTTTGAGCTGGAGCTTCTCCACTTCGTCGGTGATGCCGAGGGCTGAAGCGCGGTTAGGTTGTATCGTGCTACGAGATAGAAGGCTTACCATCGAGGTAGAGATCGTCCATAGCGCCGATGTCTGTCTGCGTTTTGCCGCCCAGGAATCCAACACAGTTAGGCTCGCCGCAATAACACGGTTGTGCATCGTGCCTGAAGACCGATCAGCACCGATACGTTCCAGACAAGAGTAGGTGTGCTGCTAACCCATAGCGATCCACGTTGTAGTTGAACGTAAGCTCCTCGTGCTGCCGGATATGCCTGCTCGCGAAGATGCCCATCCGCACGTGGGTGCCCACCGTCCACTTGGCAACGTAGCAGTTCGGACTGCAGGAGTGATTCGCAAACCGTCCGATACCGCCACGCTTGGTGGCGTCGATGTACTCGTCCTTCTGGAGCATCATGAAGTAGAAGTGGCGGATGCCCTCCTGGGCGTATTCCCGCATGCGCTTCTTGAACGAGGGATGGGAGACGACGTCGCCGACATATTCGTAAATAAATTGGTCTCTGGAGGGCGAGCGGAGAGAATGCTCTGAATATATGTGGATCGATAAAGGTCGGAGACGCACTTTCGAATGTCCTCCCGCGCCCGCAATCCGAAACCCTTCTTCTCTGTTTGCACAATCTCTATCGGAGCATATTCTCGTCGGTTGAACCTGGAATGTAACCATGATTATGAGCCAGAGAGATTGGAGGCCGCTCACAACCTGACGCACCTCTGGTTTCGACAGTGAGCCCCACATCGACACTCGCCCGGCAAGCACTCCACTTGCGTCAATCTGTTGATACAGTCCGAGCCCTCGCCGCATGCCATCCACGGTTCATCTTCAGCTGTGCGAGTGAAAGCCGCGTCAGCATTGGCGTCCAGCCGGCGTGAGACTTCCGAGCCGCCAGCTACACGACGGACTCTACGACTACGGAGAAAAGAGCGAGGACTGACCGTGGTCGTACTGGCAGTCGCATGTCATGCCCTCGAGCGCCTCGCGGGAGCGCCCGAGGGTGCCATACTGGTAGTGGTTCGCCTTGAGCTCCTCAAACGTGGCCATCGCCGCCTCGGTGGCGACGGGCAGGTCTCCGATGAGCTGGGGGCCCGGCCGCGCCTGCGGCTGCTGCTGGCGCCGCGAGGACGAAGCGCCGGGCGTGCTGGAGTCCCGGTTGGTTTTTACGGGCAGAGGTTCCCCCTCCGGTTTGGGCTTGACGTCGTCGACGGGGAGGTCGTCGTCCCCGTTGGACGGCTCGGCTTTGACGCCGAGCCTTGCGTCGGATGGAGACGGGGAAGGTAGGCGGCTGCCCATGTCTTCAAGTTTGGGTCTGGGCGACACGGAGCGCGACGTCGTTGTCGACATCGCCGGCGGGAGGTCCTAATGCAGTCAGAACGACGAAGTTGGCGGCGGTCGCCGCGTCTACGTAAATGTGCTGGACAATATAGTTCGAGCCTTCCACGCTTGCTGTGATGCTCTCCTGTATCAGGTGTACGAGATGGCGAGGGGGATGGAGGGTAGAGACCCAAAGTGAGCAGCTATAGACAACCGCCTCTCAGAGGAGGGCGATTAGTGAAGAGGCTGCGCTCAGGAGCGGCGGCGACCCGTTGGTGACACATGCGCACACAAGTGGCTGAGGATCGCTACATTTCTCATCGAGTCGACACATGGGCTGGGATACATATTCTCAACGTAGTATAGGAGACTCCAAAGGTTCAAGAATGATGACTGGAACGCACTGCTCGAGTGCGGGATTGTGAGACCTGGATGTACAAACCGGATGAGGTTGTCGATTGGTATACGCTGCAACTGCGATAACTCAAGGCACAAAGGATGCTTTGATACTGCTTACCACATGGGGAAGTCCAAGTGATAGCCAACGGTCTACGGGGTATAATCGGCGAGGCATAGAACCAGCTAACGCCGGTCGTTGCTGCGCGATCTTGGACGACTAGCACGGCAGCACTCGTAGCTGCGGTAGCCTCTCACACGGAATACTGATCGTTTGTGAGCTTGTTGTGATGCAAAGTTGAGGGGTAATTTCCGTTGAAATTCGACTATGTCCCGCACGTCGGGAGCCCGGCTGAGGTTCAGGGTAGCTATGTGCGCAACGATCCACATTGGGTGGCTCGATAATACTAGACGTCAAGAGCAACAGATGAGAAAGCGACCGATAAGAGAGAACATCCAGCAATTCAATCGTCGTCTTCGATGATGAACGTGCAAAGATGAAGTCGAAGGCCAAGGGTCGAGAGTCGGCGGTCCTGGTCAAAACTGAACGCCACCTTCTCTCCTTCGCCTCTCCGCAAAAAAAGCCATGGCTGCGGCCACAGCACCAAGCAAGAAACGTAAACGCCATAACGTTGAGGCAGACGAGGCCCACAATAAGATCACTGTGAAACTGTCCTCGCAAAATGCTATGGAAGTCGGACCCGTCGTAGGTACGCGCGCACCGGCTCGCTCACTTTTCTCGATGCTCATCTCACTCTGGTCGCTCTTTCTTGGGGTATGCGTGGATAACAGCGAGCTTCCCGGTGCAGCCACCTCCCAAAACGTCGTTCAAATGCTACACACGCAAGAGGTCGCGAATCGAGGGCGAGGAGGCGACGGAGTTCGCGAGGAGGGACATGCTCGTTGCCGGCGAGGCCGATTCTGTTGAATATGCTTCCATCGACGAGCCAGGGGCAGGTGCAGGGTGCCGGTACGTCTCGATCTTTTAGCCATATTCATACAGTCCCGAATTGGACTACGGCACAGGTACTACGTTGCCGTGCACGACAAGCGCACGCACACGGTCACCATTCGCCCAGCCCCGCTGCACATCATGCAGCGCACCGTCAAGGCGCTCAAGGCGCTCAAGCCCGCACCTGTGGGTGCGGCGGAGCGCCTCGCGGCGCGGAACGCGTTGCAGAACACGTTCGGAACGAAGAAGGCGGTTACCCGCATGCGGGCGCAGGAGCGGAACAGGGTCGACGTTGACGCCATGGGCGCTGTCGCCGGTGTGCTGCAGAGCACGGTGGAGAAGAACACGGAGGCGCTGCCGACCAAAGGTGCGCAGTCCTCTCTTGGACCCCCTTTTGCTTTGCGATTAACCTTCATTGTGTAGACGAGGCGCAAGAGCTGGCAGACGCGTCGCGTCTTATTCCGCCGTACGACGCCACGGCGACGACGCCGTCGGAGATCTACAAGCTGTATGCGATCGTGCCGCAGAGCGAGCTCGACTCGATCAGTGCCGCACCGTTCTTGAGCGCGAGCAACGGGCAGGAGAGGACCGCGCTGTTGGCCTTCAGACGGAGTAGTTGGGTGAATCAACATCTGAGCGCATTGTTCAGGGACAAGGAAGACGGAAAAGGGATCGATAAGCGTATATTGTGCGTTTGCCCTCCTGACGTCTTTGCGTTCGCTGTGTACTCATGCCGTTCGCAGGAAAGTGATCGTGTACATCTCCGCTATGATCGCGTTCCGAGAAGCAACGATGCGCGGGCGTGATTTTGAGAAGCAAAAACTGCAGGAATCTCAGATGCTGAAGGCTGTCCCCGGCCCCGTGCTCGACGGCTTCCTCTCCCGATTCGCCGAGCAGCCGCGGGGCTCAACGAAGTGAGCGCTCACAAATTGTGGTTGTTTTTCGATTTTGATCGACGACGTGGACGGATAGATACCAGGTGACGAGCCAGAAGCGGGCGCTGCTCCTGGCATATATGTTCGCGCTCTGCTTGCACGTCGATAATTTTGCGACAGATACGTCCCTGATCGCCAACGACCTCGCGCAGCCCACCACCAAGTGCGTTTTCTCTCTCTCACCCGCCTGATCTCTACGTGACGGTTTACGTGTGTCTCAGGATCAATCCGATCTTCAAGTCACTCGGGTGCAGCGTGAAGGTGCTTGGGCTGACGGAGCTGAAGAGGCTCGGGTTGCCGGACAGCGCAGCGGCGACGAAACGAGCCGTGTTGGACGTACCGTTGAAGTTCCCTGCTCCAAGGCTTAGGAGAAGGACATAGTGTACGACGTGATTGTTCACTCTTCCTAGGATTGGAGTGCGAGACGTAGTATGCTCGCAGAGTTCACCGATTAGGCGACGCTGCGTAATAGTCCGAGCTTGGATGCCTAAGGGTAGTCGAGTCGTTGATTTCATCATCAAAACTGTGCGGTATGCTCTATTTCCATTTGAAAATTCCAGGCCATGGCAGATTCGACGATCGTGCATTTTGTATGGCTCACAACTCACTTGACGCTCGCGAGGCACGAGCGCCTAAATTAAACGCTTTCGATTGGTAAGTGGCTGTGCTCAATTTTGCCTCTCCTTCGCCATCCTTTGATCCGGTTGTAGCTACTTCGGGGCAGCGTACGAGGCCAAAAGAGACTCGAAGTGTCTGCAAGCAAATAAGATCTGCCGCACGACATCATGGTCTCTAGCCTTGCCGCGCAGCTCGCGCAAGGGGCCTCGCTCAATTCTTCTCTCCTGGTTGACCGCTCACGACGCGGACCTACTCAATCCTATCTCTTCACGGGCCGCAGCGCGGACGAACACGACTTGGACTCTATATATGCCCTCGGATGCAATGGACTACTGCAGCTCGGTCGCCTCAACTCCGCATTCACGGCGTTCGCGGATACTCTGTTTTCTGACCAGGCGAAGACGACGGACAGGACGCTGCAGACGAAGGCGCAGAACGAGGAACTGGACAACTTGATCGCGGAGTTTCTACAGTGCTTGGGTCCGTGGCTGCTCGAGGCCCCGGCAGGAAAAGTGTTGGAGTGGCTCGTGAGGCGGTTCAGGTGCGCTTTAGAACAAAAAATGCATCCGTTGGAGGCAGAGAATGACTACTTTGTGCCTGCTCTTCAGAATTCACGAGTTCAACGTTGAATCCGTCATTGCCCTATTCCTCCCATACCACGAATCGCCTCACTTCGCGAAGATGGTTACTATCCTTCACATCCGGTGCGCCTTACGCAACTCATGTCGGTGCTACTCCATCTGCTTACATTCCTATTCATATATGCAGCGACCACCCCACATGGCGCTTCCTTCAGCCCTTCGCGAAAGCGGGAAAGTCACTCCCTCGGACCGCCCTCGTCACCGAGATGCTCAAATCGCCCGAGCTTACGCGGTCTGCCGTCTCTCTCCTCCCCGCCGCGCTTCGCGCTCAACACGTCCACCGTACCCTCGTTGCATTCACGGCCGGCACGCTGCTCGAGTACATCTCACGCTCGGAGGGCTTGTCCGAGGGCGTGCTCGCGATGCTCATACCCGCTTTCCTAGCGCCGTTGGAGAAGGACGTGCTCTCAAGGGGCGAAGAAGGTGGCAGGCCTGCAATGTTGATCAGAGAGGCTATTGTGAGTGTTCCTCTCCCACGTTCCCATTTGTCATCGCCGTTGACGTCTGTCAGCTCGGGAGTTATGTCCTGCTGGCCGCTCTCAGTCAAAGAAGCACCCTCACTCCGGCTGCACTTAAAACCGCTCTCGAGCGCATGGCTGCGGCTGCGACTTCGGGCCATGTTGAGGCTAGTCAGTTCATAAACGCGGCCGTGGCGGTATGCGCGCCGCAAGAGGAACTGGAGACGTTGAAGCTGCCCTTGTCTGCGTGAGTCGCGCCTCGACATATCGTTGGAGAGCACACGATGCTCACCATTCACATGACTTTGTCACAGGGAGATTTCGGACGCCGCTATCAAGGCGCTCGCGTATCACGGCTCGGACAAGCTCCTAGGTCCTGTGTTAAATAGGGCACTCTCGCCATCAAAGGAAACGCTCTCCGTAGAGATCGCATATCTCGTCGAGAAGCTCTTCACGGCGTCCAACCCGCCAAGTTCTCTCATTCGCCGCATCACTGCCCTGCTACTCGCGAGAGCGATCCGAAGCAAAAATCGACATGACGCGGAGCGCGCACTGCTCGCAACGGTTCAACAACGGCATCTCGAGGTGTTCAAAAGCGCTTGTGACGAGTACCTAACCCGTACCGAGGAAGAAGACGACGAAGACCACACTGCCTTGAGGAATGAAGTGGATCAACTTCTAATCTCCCTGTCGCTGCCGCCGGTACGTTTGTGAACTCGTCTGCTCCAAGGTATGCCAGTCTCATATTCTCGCACCTTTAGGCAGCCTCCGGGAGTAAACACGCCCTTGCCGATCCGGACATGATCCTCGCTTCCGCACACGCAGACGCGTCCGTCCGTCTCGCCGCCGTCCGGAAGCTCATCGGCACGCTCATCGAAAATTCCTCCAGTACAGACGAGGCAGAGCTGCAATCTATCCGCTCAGCGCTCCTCCAGCGCGTCCATGACACCGACCCCTCCGTCGTCGGCGAGTTATACGCCCATCCCGAGCTCATCCTCCCCAGCATCGCGGAAGAGGAAAACGACGAATTCCTCGCGACTCTCGCCGCGCACCTCGAGTCGAGCGGTTCGCGCCAACTCATTAGGTTGCACCTTACCTTCGTCGCCGCCCACTCCAGCGCGTCATCGTCTGCCGGGTCCACGTTCGACTCTAACGCCGCAGTGCTGCGCCTATTCTTCCCCTTCCTGATATTCTCTAAGCCGAGACAGAAGAGCGCAGCCGCGGCTTGGGATGTTGTCCAGGCTCATGAAGGTATCGCCGACTCGGCGCTACTGAAGGGCTGTGTCGACGTCTTGAAAAAATCGGGCGAAATAACCGGGGAGATCGCGATGCGCGAAGCCAACGCCTCCATCGCGGAGAAGCTAGCAGAGAACCTCATCGCGTTGAACAGCTACGAACAGGTTATAGGGGAGGTTATAGCCCGTCTGCACGAGTCTTCCACATCACCCAATGGCCCGCACGCGCGCATCCTTGCGTACCTCGTGTTACGATCCTTGCTCAGTCGACTTTCCAGCGAGCAGCAAGTCGAGATGGCACATCGAGCTTTGGACGCCATCGATTTGCAGTCGCTGGACGCGTTCGCCGAATCGCTGGCCAGAACACAAAGTTCGGAAGACCCACTAGGTGATGACGCGCTCAATCACGCCATTGTAACGAAGCCAACCAGTCCGAACACGCTCCGTCGCCTACAGGCGTCCTTGTTCGCCTTCTTGCCACAAATCCATAAACCAGAGAGCAATGCGCTTCCTTGGCTCGCTCAGTCTGGAGATGTGGGTGACGACTCTACGTGGAAAAGGCGCCTATTGACAATGTTACAGGACCACGGTCTTCGTTACGTCCAACTCATGCGTAGGTTGTACGCCCTGGCCAACGCCACTGGCACGGTGCCGCTTCTCTCTGCGACGATCAACCGCAACCTCTTCGTGGCGCTGGCCACGGACTCGCTCGCATTCCTCGCCGGCATCTGGATTCGCCGAGACGGAACGGATAGCATCCGTAAGATCGCGCTAGCGCACGCTGTCGCCTTCCTCGCTGCACACACGGATATGCCGAAGCCGGTCGACTTCCAGACAGTGCTTCCGTGTCTGTTGGTCGGGCTGCAAAGTGGGGATAGACCGATGCGCGAGGGCGCGATGTCGTGCGTCGTTGTTTTGGCGCAGCTGGCCACGGCGCAGCAGGCGTCCGCGGTTTATGCGCTGGATACGATCTATGGGAGCCACTCCGGTATGTCCTCCTAGAGACCTCCTGTTCATGAGGGGTACTGACGAGAAAAATAGCCGGGTTGCAGTACGTGGAATGGGAAGATTCGCGCAGGTACTTGGCAGCCCTTGTCGAACGTCAGGACCATCTGGTCAGCGACAGCTCTCAATTGCGTGTCTTCCATCGCGAGCTTCTGAGCCGAAGCAAGTCCGACTCGAAAAAGGACGGCGGGTGCGGTCATCGTCTTGTTTTGCCCTGTTAGCATCTCATCGTAATCGTGCTCCGTGCAGGTATAAGCAGCGCATGTTGTGCTATCTACTTTCACACGTTAGCAACGCGCCGGCGATGGATGTGCGCCTGCCTATCCTCAGATCATTGCAGGACGTCAAGCACGTGGTCAAGTTCCAGATGCTCATGCCGGTCGTGCAACGTCAGATCGACTTCGTCGAAGCTCACTCCGAAGTGGCAAACGGAGAAGGCGACGCCGGGTTCGACGAATTCATGACATTGTGTGCGGCATCAGTAGGCGGTCCTGCAGCGCGAGATTGCAATGAGCCATCTTCGCAGCAGTGGCCTTTGTTTGGGAAGGCACTGCAATGGTCATTCGGTCCCGGTGGGTCTTATTTTCTAGGTCCTTCGATAGGGTGGTTAGACGTGACATGCGTCCGATAACCTCCCTTGTCCGGCCTTACCGATCTTCGTGGTCTGATTTGACGCTCACCGACGGTATTACAGGCATCAACATATGCCCCAACATGCGTAAAGCGATGACGGACAACCTGCGTGACCATCTTTTCGCCGCTCTGAACAACGAACGCAAGATGGAGTTGTGCTCAGTCCTATTGGAAATCGGAAGCCAAGGAGGAGACGTCGTCAGTTCCCTTCCCTTCATAGTCTGTGCATTTTTCTCACTGAACGTCTAGCGTAACGAGTGTCTCGGTGCGCTATCGCACTTGTTGAACGATGTCCCCGTCATCGTCAAGCTGTTGACGACCGTTCAACCCGCGTCCGACGCTCATGCGAACCGTAGCGCGAAACGAGCCAAATTGGATGGGTAAGTACCGTTGATGCGCTCAATCCGTTGTATCTGACCATCGGAACCAGCGTCGTGGAAGAGGATAGCCTCCAGTCTTTGGCCTTACTTGCAGAGGCTCTCAATAACAAGACTCTCCCGGCATCATTCGACCTTGTGTCAGCTTTGTTGGATACTTTGTCCAGTGTGGTTCATTCCGATGCTACGTTGCAGCTGCAGAGAGGTTACGTGGCTCAACTGTTGATGTCTGCCCTTGACAACGTCACGTCGCGTCTCGTGGTATGTCTTGTGACTTCAGTGATCGCATGCTGCTAATGCGAGCACAGGAATTACCGAATATTGAGCCTAGCCCCATCCGTGCGAGCATCCTGGTGGATGTTATTCGAAGTAAGGGATTCAACTTGCTCATTCAGCATAGATTCTCAAACTACTCCCAGTTACCGACAATCCACAAACTTTCCACCAGGCCTTGCTGCTCATGGCAACCTTGGCCCGCCTGGCTCCGGACGCTGTCGTGCAAAATATTATGCCCATATTCATATTCATGGGCTCAAACGTTTTCCACCGTGACGATCCCTATAGTTTCCGCGTGGTGCAGAAGGTGTGTCGGTTGTTCCCGCCACGCATAGCTGTACTGAATATTGGACAGACTATCGACAGCATCGTTCCAGTCATGATGGCTACGCTGAGGACTTCACACGAACAAAAACGGGACTTATGGATAGCTGCCAGGAGCTTCCTGCAACTGTTCACCGACGCGGTGAACCACGTACCTCGTCATCGCCGCCTTGGGTGATGATTTCTCGGCTAGCCGTTCAAGCAACGTTTGGCTTACAATATCCGTAGATTTTACTCTCATCTTGTCGACGTTTTGGGGGCAGAAGAGTTCCTGTCCCCAGTCACCATGCTTCTCGTGGACAAGGTGGCAAGCAGAGTAGCTAGGCAAAGTAGGGAAGAAGCGCGGCAATCGCTCATTATTCCTCTTGCACTGCTTCATCGATCCAGTCGCGCGCTGCAGATCACGGTATGCACATCTGTATCACATGGGCAATCGCCGGCTAACATTGCAACAGTCGTTCTTAGATTTCCTCGACGAAGCTTACGACTCTCTTCTTACTGCTTTTGACATGACACCAGAGCGGAACGTATTTCTGTCTGCCTCTCCGTAAGTGTTAGTGAGTGAACCAGGTCATTTTACTCAATTGGAGTTACCAGGGATCCCGACGAAGACCACCCATCGCGATCCAAGCAGCTATTGCGACGCGCGCACGCTCTCCTTGTTCTTGTTGCGGAAAGCTTCAAGCTGGCAAAAGAGCCATTTGTCGGCCCTGCCTCCGAGGACGCAGGGGTAACTATTGGCTCAGTGGTCCCCAAGCTTTTACGTACATATTCGCTATCACCTTCTGGACGGGAGATGGACACCGCCATAGTTGGTCTCCACCGTACTGCACGTGTGTGTCTCGAGGAAGCGTTGCAAAAGATGGCAGTTCCAGACTTCGCTCGAGCGACGCTGCATATGCTCCGATCCGGAGACGATCAGGTATGTCGCACACGATTACAAGAGGTGCTGCCACCGCTGATCGTGTGTTTTACCGCAGATCAAAGTCGCCGCGCTTACTTTGCTCATCGACCGTCTGCATCTGGTCACCGAGGATGCACGACAACTTATTGCCCCTGTGATTGCGCAGATAGTGGACGTCATTGTCGAAATCACTTCAACCTCAAAAAGTGAGAACCTGATCCAGGCAGCCTTCAAAAGCTTGAAGGAAATTAGCAACACGATGTGCGCTGGCGAAGAAGCATCCTTGATGCAGGGAATTCCTCCTGTTCTCGCCGCCATGCGGACCCGCAGTGACGCCGCAGCAGCAGTTTCTGTGTTACCTTCCTTATGGTAAGGAGGACCGCTTGACATTGACGATGCCATCTGGATCTCACAATAACCATCAGCGTGGCTTTGGGCCCACGGGTCATACCGCACTTCCGGGCAGTTGTTCAGGAATGCATCGCGCTTGTGCGCGAAAGCTTCCGGGATATGGGTAAGAGCTGTTACTCCCGAATAGAGCCGACACTGAACTGAACCCGCCTGTGACAGAGTCGTCTTCTGCAGTGCATGACTGCCTCGATGTGCTGAAGAAACTTCTTTCTTCTATTCCTTCGTTCTGGGGAAGCGCAGATATTGCCATGCTGGTGTCGCTATACATGGATTATTCCGTCGCTCCAGGGAGCCAATCTTCACCTGTAGAGGGAGTCATACGTGCACTTGCAAAACGTGCACCTTCAGATCTGCTACTGACCACGCTCTGCGAGATGTGGCCCTCCGGCGGTCTAAAGGTCAGTAAATATGCCTTTTTGAGGCATAAAGCTTACTCTGCTTTAGGATGTTCGCAAATATCTGGCGTACTTCGAATGTATGAAACGTGCTCTTCGCATCGCACAGCGCACTGTGGTATCCGAACACATCCGGCAGTTGTTCAAGGTCTTCATGGCGGCCTTCGACCTTCGGCACGATGTTGAATCCGAATCCATCGAGGAGGTCAATCGAATCTGCGTTGCATGATAACTTATAACTTATGACGAGTCTGCAGGCCGAGCATCGTGCAATTGAGGCCTTCGTTGAATTGACGTCGAAGCTGAACGATATCTCATTCAAGCCACTCTTCCGGCGCCTATACGATTGGTCGTTCACTAACAGCAACCTATCCGCACGTCAAGTCACATTCTGCCGCACATTCATGGCGTTGTTAGAATACTTCAAGGTAAGTTCGAACATTGCGTACTTCACTGCATCCGCTCACGGCTTTCCCAGGCTCTAATGACACCCTACATGTCATTCTTGTTGCAACCCTTCATCGAGAAACTACTTGCATACTCTTCTGGGTCCGAACGGGATAGAACCCTGTGGACATCTGTTATCCAGGTCCTGGTCAGGAGTCTTGCATTTGATGACGGAGGCAAGTGGAACCGGATGACCCGTGTGCCTCCTCGCTGACTTGCATGTCCAGCATTCTGGAGAGATGACAAATTGCGTGCTCTCGTCTCCCCGCTCGTGAATCAGCTCGCGGTTTGCATCAACCTGAACATCGCGGAAGGACGTGATCTGCTTTCAACCTGCCTCACAGCTGTAGTTGACGCCACTACCGACGACGATTTGCTCAAGAGTATCAACCTGAAGGTATTAATGCATACACGCTCGGAAGAAGTCAAGCTGCGGATTCTTGCCCTCAATTGCTCCACGACTCTGTGGGCGGAGCATGGAGGCAAACTCCTCGGTTGGTTGTCTGCTCGCTGCGGAAATGATCTCTAGCTAATCCTTGCGCATTTGCCAGGTCTTGCGACAGAAACAGCGACATTTATTGCCGAGTGCGCGGAGGACGAGTCCGACAATGTAGTCAAGGCTGCGATAGAGCTGAAGGATGCTGTGGAGAGTGTCGCGGGAAGCATACAGGTGTAATAACAAAATGTAATAACTAAGCAAGGGTATAGATGAAATCGTGTGCTAAGAAACAGTCCCTTGTGAGTCCATGCTCTCGCCACTTTGCCGCCTATTCAAACGCGTTTCGATGTTTGTACAATCCGAGAGTAATTGGGCAATGACTGAATGCCTGCAAGCGCTGCGAATGAACGGAGTCTAGACAGGCAAATAATAAGCCAAGGTGCTTCGATGTATGAAAGATGCACGACAAACCGCGAGAAGTTCCTTTGGTGTCGGACGGGAAGCAGCAGGCATCGAGCACCGAGCCAGGAAGTCGTGTAGAGATCGCGAGTAGGCGTCAGGATCATCGAGCGGAGGCCATTGGCGGCCGATCTGACTGGCATCTTGCACGTCCGAAAACGGAGGTACAGTTTGCAGCGTTTCCCAGATAGTGGCTCCGAGGGACCACACGTCGACCTTCAAAGCATCGTATGATCCACTCCGTACCTCCGGAGCCTAGCGTGAAGATGCGTGAGGGAGGCTCATGTACTGGTGACAAACAATCCCCCACCTGCCAATAGACAACCCCTACTACGTCGGAGCATGTCGGGCTCTCCGCCGTTACGCGCACGCCGTTGGAAAAATCGGCTGTGGCAGCAATCAGAAGGAATGGGAGGATCCATGCTGAAAAATCCTTACCCAGCTTCAGAACGCCTTCACAGTTCAAGAGCATGTTATCAGATCGCACATCCCGATGTGCGATGCCATGCGTCTGAAGATACGACAACCCGGACAAGATCTGGGGAAGAGTGTCACGGGGGTCAGGATTGCAAAGCTATCAGCAGGGCAGAAAACCCACGTCTGAGGCGAACCGGGCGACGATCACCTCCGTGATCTCCAGGCCCTCCTCCACAAGTCCGATCACGTCCGCCAAGCTCCGCTCCATGAGCTCCATCCGTATCCAAAGCGAATCCTCTACCAGGTCCATGTAGAGACCATCCATGGTCAATATGTTTGGATGACTGAGACCCCTCATCAAGCTGAGTTCGTGCTTCAGCTCGCCTATCTTCGGGCTCCCGGTCGGGCTGACTTGCACGTTCTTGATCGCGACTGTCTGTTTGTTCGATGACGGGGAGCTGTCCTTCGCCGCGGCTCGAGCCCACGCCTTCGCAGACGGCGTATGAGATGCTGCAGAGGACAGGTCTGGGAGCGGAACGACGCGTGCGGCATACACGCTGCCCGACTCGCCCTCCGCGATCTCGCGAAGATCGACGTATCGTTCACGTGGGTCGAGCGCATCGTTGATAAAGTCATCGAGCGGCGCAAGGACCTCGGCGAGCCACCCGCGATAGCGTACCGCGGGGGTTGCGGGTGACAGCGAGCTCGGAGATGAGGGATTCTTCGAGTGGGCAGGGGATGTGACCGGAGACTTCCCCGCTGAGGTCGTAGCAGAGTTTGCCTCCGGTGGGATGCCGCTGATAACGATCCGCGGGCGCTGATTCCTCTTCTGGGCAGCGGCGGACAAAGGCGAGGTCGACTGGGACCTGATATGTACCGTCTCCGTCTCCTGACTCTCCTTCTCTTCCCGCTCCCCATCGTCATCCGAGGCTGAGTCAGACGCTTCCTCGGGCTCGTCCTGGTCCAGCTCAAAGAAGCTCTGGGTGGCGCTCGGGCTCGGACTGGGGGTCGCTTGCAAGTAGGCAAGCGACGGCGTCTTTGGTGTCTTCGGAGCATCGCTCGCGCCCTCCGACGACACGGACGTCGCTACCGTCTGCCGCCTCGACGAGCCCGTGAGCGACGTCCACCCGCTCTCGGCGCTCCCGCTGCCACTCCGACTCGCGCTCCCGCTACCACTACCTTCGTCCTCCGGCTCTTCGTCCTCGTCCACGCCCTCTATAGTCTGGTGCACACCCTCCAGCAGCAGGCTCAACCCTCGATCTTGCCTCAGGTCGGTCCGCGGCTGCAAGTCTGCACCGGCCTCATTCCTCCCTACGTCCCTCTTCTCCACCGGCGATGTCCCCGCCGACCCTGACCTACTCCTTACTCCAGCCCCAATCACATTCGCCTTCGTTGCGTATGCCACCACCGCACCCCGCACGATGCTCGCTCCCTCCGCCGAACTGCGGTCCACATCCCGCAGCGTTGATGCTGAGTCCCTCTCCGGCCTGACCGTCAGGTTGGAGTCGCGGTTGTCCCCCCTCCTCGTCACGCCCGGCAGTAAAAATTCGTCGTCCTCATCTTCCTCCTCCTCTCGCCGATTCGGTACCGTCATCCCTGCGGACAGCGGTGACCGGCCCGCGATCGCCTCCCGCGCAAGCCTCTCCATCAGCTTCCGTCTGTCCGGGCTGCTCAGCGTCGCAGGAATGACCGGGCTGCCCTCCTCGCCCTCGTCCAACGCGGGGCTCCTCACCAGCACGGACGCCACGCCCGGTGAGTCCTGCCGCACCATTCCCAGCAGCTCGTTCCACAACGGCGTCGTCGCTGGCGGCGCCGCGTCTCCCTCCTCCGCTATACTGGACCGCGACGACGGCCGGCCGAGCGACGTGAGCGGAACGGGTTTGTGCTTCGTCTTAGGACTCGTGACGTTCGGCGCGGCCGTCGACGGAGGGGAGGCGGTCTGCGCCCCAATCGGCGCGAACGAGCTGTAGCTCGGCGGACTCGGGAATTCGCTAAGGTCCAAGCTCGGATCCGTATCACTTCGCCTCGAATAGTCGCTGACCGTGCTCCCGTCCGTCATCTCCCGCTCTCGCTCCCTCTCGTGCGGTCGCACCGCCGGCTCCTCTGCGACCTCCTGCTGCGGCTTCCTCCTCAACGACGACCCGCGGGGCGGATAGCCCTTGGGCACCACACTGGCGCTCGCCGGGCTTCCCTTCGCGCTGGCCGAGCTCGATCCCCCTGACCCGGCGCTCGGCAGCACCGCCGAGTCGCGCCTCCCCTTGCTCTCCCACGGCTTACCGCCGCCCGCACCATCTTCTCGCGCGCTCGGTATGCTGGAGAACAGCTCCTCGGTCCAGCTCGTGAGATCGCCGAGCGGCGCGTCGAGCGACAGCCGGGGAGGCGCGAACGACATGCGTTTTCGTCGCGGCGGGGACGTGAGCGAAGCGGCGGTAAACGTCGATGTGGACGCGGACGCGAAGGAAGCATTGTTGGAGGCGGAGTCGGACGGCCTGCCGGGAGAGGATGTGGTAGACGCGGGAGACGAGATAGATGCCGAAGCCGAAGCCAGGGAGGTGACCTGGTCCTGCTCCTGCAGCCTGGGCGGCTGCGGCGGGGGGTCCTTGTTCGGCGTCGTCGTCCCAAACTGGCCAGAGTCCATTCCTCCGAACCCCGCCTTCTCCTTCTCGGGTAGCGGCACCATGGATCGATCGGACGATGCGTACGCGGGGGGTGGCGTGAACGGTGTTACGGGGTTGTTCACCACCACGAGCTCGGGCTGCTCGCGCGTGCGCTGCCGCGTTGGCCTGGAGCGTGGTTGTAGCGGCGTAGAATCTGCTATTGTGAGCGGCGCTGGCGCCGTGGCCGGAATCACAGGAGATGAGGAAAGCGAACGTTGAGAAGAGGATGTCGTAGATATGGAATGCTGTAGCGTGATTTGCGGCGCGGGTGAGGTTGATGATGGCAGAGGCTCGTCGCTCGTGAAACTGGACGAGCTCGACGCGTTCGAGTACTTGCGCTGTGCCGCGGCCGGGCGCCGTCGGGATGCGGATGCGGAGGAGGACGCGAGGGAGTATTGCGAGTCCGAGCGCGGGAGCGAGCTCATGCGAGGCCGGGGCACGATACCGACGCCAGCTGCCCGGGGGATCGTGCCCGTGCCCAATATCGGCTGTTGGGGGGCATAGGGGTTCGGGAGTTCGAGGTCGACATGATTGGAGAGGGATGCGGTGGAGGCGGAGGCGAGCGTCTGCGGTGAGCGCGCGCGAAGACGCTGTTGGAGGATCGCGGCGATCTCGTCGTCAGTGAAGCCGGCCTGTGCGAGGGAGGCGGTCCATGAGGGTGGCAATCCGCCGAACCTGCGTGTACACGATGTGAGCGATGGGATGATCCGGGATCAGAACGGAGAAACTGGGCGAGTGAAGGGGGATTGATCGCTGAATACGGCGGGAGAGGGGACATACGCTTCGTCGACGTGAACATTGTGCTATATATGCGCATATAGACAGATATATCAGTCAGTCTCGCGCTCGATCAACCACATAAAACAGAGAGGAAGGGAGACGCACCTGGAAGTTCCATGGCATCGATATACCCTCGTCTTGTTGCGGTGGTGGAGCCGGGAGCTCAGGTTTTGGCGGCTTTGGGCTCTTGCTGCGGCCGAACATGAGCTTGGCGAACGGGCTCTTACGAGGCGCTGCATCGGGTGTTAGGAGGCCGTTACTGCTACCCCCGCTGGGCAAACGCGGAGTCGAGCCATTCGAGAGGTTGGTGAGCGACGGCGCGTCGACCTGGACGAAGCCATAGGGGGGCGAACGCGGGGCGGGCGTGCCTGGTAGCGACGGCGTCTGACTACGACTATACGCGCTCGTAGGGTTCAAGCTGGTACCGCTGGTGGGGTTGTTCGGATGGTTGTTGTAGGCATTGTAGATGGGGGTGTTGAAGGAGGAGGGTGCGGCAGAGACGTCGGATGGCGCGAGGGAGACGAACGAGCGGTTGTCGGGCTGGAGGTAGTACTCGTCCTTCGGAGGCGGCGGGGGCGGCTTCCCCGACGATGAGCCCGCGCCTGAGCCCGCGCCCAGCTTGAAGACCTTCAGCGTCGAGAAGCGCGAGTGTTGTCGACCGTTCGTGCTCATCGCGGTGTCGTGTGTGCTGGGACGACGTCGCTATAAGACGGACATGCACTGGTACAGTTAGCGTGTTGCGGCCTTAGATGTGGTGATGAAGCGCAGGAGGCTTGTCGCTTCTGGTCGTCGTTGTCGGCCGGTGGCTTGCACTAGTCGTCGACGTTGAGCACGGCGAGCTCGGGGGCGCGGTGTGACTGCGCGCGGGACCCAACGACGGCGAGAAAGACAGTTGTGGCGCAGAACTCGCTTTGCCCCTCTTCCACTCGCGCACCATCACAATAACGATCAAAATTCCCGCTGCTCAAACTCTGCGTTCCTCGTTGTGACTCGTTACGTGCATAGTGGAAGATGCGGGGCCTGGATACGGCGACACTGCGCGGTATTTGGCCCCATGTACGTACATATATCTGTACAGGATGTCGAAGATATGCTAAATGTGAACATGCAGTACGACAGCATAGCAGTGCTTTGATGAAAATCAGAGCTCGGGTGTCGGAAGACTCGATTACCGGTCCACCATCTACTCTTCTAAGGTAGCTGTCATGCAAATCTTGACCGATGTCACATGATATGATCGACTGCTTGAAGGCCCTTCTCCTCCTGCAGATCAAGCACGATCACCAATGCGCGACCTATATTGTCTAGATACAGTTCATTACTAGGGATCATAGGTTACGACTCCGGAGAAAGAGTAAAACTGCAAGAGCAGATGAAATTTGAAGCCATTTTTGGCAGCCACGTGATATCGGTCAGGATTTGCATGGCAGCTACCTTAGTGTTTGCACCTCCCGTCGATCACCAGCGATCATGTAAGTATACGTATGCCGTTGATGATGGTCAGTTTCTCATCATCAATTCATCAAAGTGCACGCGTGCGTTGTAGATCTTCAGTGCGGATATCCTCGAGCACTCTCATCTCCCCTTTGTGTATATACTGTGGGTCGTTTCAAGGTTGTGGATGGACGTTGCTGAATGGTGGGCGTCACCGACCCAACATCAGGAAAAACCTCAGTCAATAACCGTCACTAATTTAGTGACCATCGCGTGCAGGTCGTGCTAAACACACTTATATACTCACTACCTGGTAAGGGTCACTAATCGTTGCTAATGTCGGCTGTCGTGGGATACATGATCTTATAGCACCGAGTGTGATTCACGCTATTTATCTAACGTGCATAGTAATGAGTTGATGATTATGTAGAGTACATCGTCGTGAGTGCAGGAACGCGGTGGTCTTCATGCTTAGCCCACGATCTTTTGGTTTGTAATTAACATTGTGGAGCAGCATGAGCTTGCATACAAGCCGGATTGGCGACCCGGCCGCCGCGTTGCATGCATTATTTGTGGAAGAGTAAGCCATTCTTCGTGCCGGCCCATCGAGGGTAGTATCTGGAATGGAGCGACATCAGACAGAATTAGTCCCGTACATCGGAACGGCAGCTCGTGAGCGTAAATGGAGTTCTTCGTGTGATATGACATGCCGTCGAGAACGGTAGCTACTCGAGATACATCAAACTGGCGGGCATAGTCAGATATGGCATCATATATGTAACCAATTAGTCGTGTACAGACGGGGCACTTTGGGGCGAGCACTATGCATAGCATCATTCACCAACGAGAGGTGGAATGTCGAAGCTTTGATTCTGAAGCGCAATCCGACCTAGCGAGATGCATCCAAATTGGGATGCACAATCACTGCCACGTTGTCCCGACTCCCCCG